TACACACTCCAGGCTTGGGTAGTTTGATAGGTGATTAAGCCGTGTCAGCGAAGCGGCGCACAACGAAGTCTACGGCATCCAGCTCACAAAGTCTAACCCCTTTCTCACCAAGCTCATCCTCCAAAAGTTTCTCCGCGCAAACCAAAATGATCTCGAGGCGGCCAAGGGCCAGCTTCTCGAGACGCTCAAGTGGAGGAAGGAGTTTGATCCCATCAAGGCGGCTGGCGAGAGCTTTGAGCGCAGCAAGTTCGAGGGCTTGGGCTATATTCTCAAGGTCGAGGGTGTGCCTGGGAGTCCCAATGCCATGGATATCGTCACCTTCAATATCTATGGCGCTGTCAAGGATAACAAGGCTACCTTTGGCGATCTCGATGCGTACGTTCCTCACTTCCTTGTCATGCCACTGTCTTTTGTTTTAAAAGCCCAACTGCTTACCATCCTCATACCACAGATTCCTCCGCTGGCGCGTTGGCCTAATGGAGAAGTCCATCCAAGCCCTCGACCTCCCCTCCGCCACAAAATCGATTCCCAATTACGGCGAAGGCACGGACCCGTACCAAGGCTTCCAGATCCACGACTACTTGCAAGTCTCGTTTCTCCGCCGCGACCCGCTCGTCAAGACAGCCACGTCCAAGACGATTGAAATCCTCGGTAAACACTACCCAGAGACGCTGTCGCGCAAGTTCTTTGTCAATGTACCCGTAGTCATGGGATGGGTCTATACGGCCGTCAAGATGATTGTGGCCAAGGAGACGGCCAAGAAGTTTACCGTCTTGAGCTATGGCAAGGATCTGGCGGGCGAGTTGGGTAAGGGTGTGCCCAAGGAGTATGGAGGCGACAAGGGCAGCCTGCAGGAGGTGGGCGAGGCGGTCAAGTTGACGGATTAGGCCTCGGGTCTATGTGTATCATGCTATTCAACTTGCGATTGGATACGTGGGTGTTGGGAAGACTTTGGTGTTAAGAGGTAATGGCAGTGGACGGTGAAGCGCGTTTGCTGGGATAAGAGTGGTGAGCACAGAGCAGCAGCGCAGGTTTTTGACTGTTGTTTAGCGATCCTAGTCGCGATATACCCAAACTGAGAAGGCTTTTTTGTGCCGAGCGAGCAACTGGAGTTGTTCATGTTAAGTCGAGCAGCTGTTTTATGGAAAATTGATAGCAAGCAATCATCATGCACTTGGTAAAGCAGAAGCATTCTTACAACAGCATATGAAGCTGAAACACATCAATGGCAACACATTTGTGAAAACGCAAGACTTTGTGTAAGGTTTGAATTCAGACTATATACGTTGGTCATATTGAAATGTGTAACGCATCAGTCCCGGTGCTCAGGCACAAGATGCTGCCAAGCAGTGATGATAAAAACCTGTACTCTTGTTCCAAGTCAGCATTGATTCACGACAAAAACGCTGAAGATGGAAACATGAGTGAGAAGCTCAGCCGAAAGATGAAAAGTCTCGAACGTTTTTTCAATCAGTGAGGCGGACCCCGTCTGAGTTAGCATGAATTGGTATTCGTCATTGCAAAATATTTTGAAAGAAAAATTGTGCTTACCGTGCTGACAGTCTGGGGCTAGACAGTGTAGGTCAGCGAACCGCTATCTTCACAGCATCAACTGCATAGCAGTCAGTAACAGACTCGTAAAGGATATCATCTGATTCATTGTGATATAGAACGGCTATCAGGTAATCGAACTTAGTTAGATCCCCACTGGTAGGTCGGTATTTGATAGTACTTAAGGTTGCTCATCATTGCAGGTGCTAGGTGTGTGGATGCATGGGGTGGTGCCTGACCTCTTGGTGTCTTTCGCAGCTCAACTATTCCTGGTTCATGATAACGATCCTATTACGCCTTGTGATGGTCGAGGCGATCGCGTATGGAAGAGGTTCTGAGTCGAGCTGCGAAAGAGGGCGCAACGGCAGCGCATGCTTTCTATTCAAGCGGCTTCATCTCTGCCAAACGCTATGCGGTGTTCCAATTCTAAAGCAGCTTCAAAGCGTTAGCTGTGGTTCTCGAAGCAAATTGATACAAATGCGAAGTATTTTCCAGCTAATCAGTCTTCTCGTTTGGCTTGAGTGGTCGGATCACCATATGTATGTATGATAGGGGCGACACGAATGTTCATCATGTTGGAGTGGAAATAGCAGATGAAGGGGGAGCGACTTACCAGAAGATGCTGTGGTGGTGCAGAAAGAGAAGCGCAAAGCTCTCCAACTTTTGAAGGGAACTTTTCTCCTACGGCGGATTGTTTGGCCGAGAAGATTGGGGTCCGAGCTCCTATCCTTGGCGCGACGCGCTCCAGGACAATATGGTCCATTAGAACCAACGCGCTTGCATGTCCCTCTTTTTCCCTGTGTCCGCCGACCACCACCACAATCACTACCATTTGCAGCAGCAGCAGTAGCAGCACAAACATCGCCGCGTCGTTGCCACTTCAGGCACTAACCGAAAAATCTAGTATGGCAGAGAGAACGTCTTTCGCTTCCTTCGTCCAGGACGCGCGGGCAAAGAAGAAGAACGAAGCGCTCGCCCAACAGTTCCTTGGTCGAGGCCGCAAAACAGCCGCATCGGGTGCAGGTGTCGCCAACAAGCCCCGCGCCGATTCGCAGAAGCCGTCGCTACTGAGCCGTATCACCGGCAGCGCAGGCGTGCAAAAGCGCTCTGCGTCTGCGAAGCCCAACTTGCAGCCCACGACCAACATCCACGGCAAGTGGAAGAACGACTTGTACGACCCCGACCCACCAGCACCGGCTGGAGGTAGGAACGCCAGGCTCAGTCGCACCGTGTCGGCGTCGCAGGTCGAGCGCAACAGCAGGACATATGACAAGTTCACATCGGTGCTGAACAAGAGCACGGATGCGCGTGGTGGTGGCGGGACAGGGGGCTTCAGCATTCGGGGTGCTGCGTCGGGAGGACCATACACTGTCGTTGCTAGCAACTTTGCGCTTGGCACCACCGCGAAGGATATCGAGGCTGTCATGTCGCCTATTGGCGGAGAGACGTTGGGATGCAAGCTCATTTCTGCCTCGCCAACCGTCATGGTCGAATTGCAGTTTGCGGACAAGGCAGGCGCAGAAAATGTCATTGCTACGTTCAACAATCACCTAGTGAGTCCTTCACGTCCACTCCCGAGGGTACAATACGACTGACCATGACTTCAGGCGGATGGCAGGCTACTCTACGTATACATGAAGGATGTCCCGGCCAGCTCTCACCTCGCGCACTCTCGGCAAGCTCCAGCACGCCTTACACAGCCAGCCAACGACATGGACATGGATATTGACACAAATGCTGGTGCCCGCCCAGGCAGCTACCAAGACGGTCGCTATGGCTTCAGGGAGGGCGGCCGCCATGACCCACCACGCGGACCGCGCCGTCGGTACTAAGCAATGTCCTCACTCATCACTTGCTCAGGCGCAACTTCGATTATTGATGTACGATACCCTTACTACGAACATTGGCTGCATGCAAACCTTTCACAATGTATGAGAGGGCTGCGACTAGGGTCGCCACAGGCGTCAAATACACTAGACGAATAGCGTGCGTCTTCTATCGCATGAACTAAGATTCCCGCTACGAGGGAGTTGGAGCTAGGATCTGATGACCTAATATGATTGAGGTAACACATCGAATATAGATGTGATCACCTCATTGCCCTACCATGACATTCAGCGTGCATTGTACCAGCCCTTCAGCTACGGAAAGGATTTTCCAACCCGTTTCTTGGGCTCAGGTGCTCTTCCATCCTTCGATCGCACTATCAATGTCCTTCCTGTACCGTTGCTGACCCTCGCATTGCTCCAAGAAAACTTTGTACTTGGCATCCAACAACTTCTTGAGCGTCTTGTCGCCCAACGGCTTCACGATCTTACCAGGCTTGCTCAGCCTATCCATGATGTCCCACAACGGCTCACTGTTCCCATCCTTATCCGTACTTGCGGCCTTGGCACCCAGCATAGCAGCACCATGTACGACCGCCGCATGTACGTATCGTGGAATGAGGACGGGCATGTCACATGCGGTAGCCATGAGCTGCATAAGCAGTCCATTTTGGCACTGTGACCCAGACATGAAGATTGAAGAAATGACGTGCCCTGAGGCATTCATGGCTGACACAATTTGATGTGTTTGCAGAGCAATAAACTCCATGGTGGCGTAGTAATACAGCGCCAAACCATCGAGACTCTTGTCCGAGCTGAGGCCAATCACCGAACCTTTCATGTTGGGATCGGCGATGGGTGAGCGGTTACCGAAGAGGTCGCCGTAGAAGAAGAAGTGTCGTGCCAGCCAAGCAATGTGTGGTGCGCGCGCCGTTTCTGCCATTTCGCGAAGATGCTCGTTCAAGTAGTCGTAGATGTTTGTGTTGTACGTCTCAGCGACGGATACGGCTTCGTTGAACGCAGGGTGTGTCTCAATAACGTGCTTGAGGAGCTCTCCGGTGGCACTTTGTCCGCCCTCGGCCATCCAGTAGCCAGGCAGTAAGACGTCGCGATAGGGACCCCAGACACCATCGACAAATACAGGATCGCGCGACATCGCAAGATGGCATGTCGATGTTCCCGCAACCGCGGCGAGACGTGTGAAGGCCTGTGACACGTCGTTCTTGGGTTGGTCCATGTCGAGCTGATCATCATCCAGCTTGACTTTGGCGCCAACGGTCCCAATCCACCCAGCGTATGCGTCGATGACACCGCTTCCGACTGCGATGCCAGGTGAGAGACCCATTTCCTGGGCCGCCTTTTCGCTGAGTGTTCCTACAAGATCACCAGCTGTAAGGTAGCGCCCATTCTGCATATTTGTCAGTAGATTGCCATAAGCATAGCAGAGTAGGACAAACCACATTATCCACGCCTCCCATGCGCTTGAAGTTGTCCTCGCAAAGATCTTCAAGGCCGATCTCCTTTAAGAAGTCTTCTTGCCAGCCCTTGACACTGCCATCGACACCAACGGGGACGAAACCCTGCTTGCACACCACACTGCAGAAGCTCCGGCTCTCGCTGCCCGTGGCCAAGTGTGTGAGCGCATCAGTCAGATCGTAGAACTTGCAGCGATCAAATAGCTCCTTGGGCATGTTGTTCTTCAGCCACAGTACCTTGGGAATCTCCATCTCAATGGACATTTTGCCGCCCACGTATCGAAGTAGATTGTGGTTTGTCGCATTAATCTTTTCCGTTTCTGCTACAGGCCGATGGTCGAGCCAGAGTATGACGTTACGATCGTTTCCGTCCTTGTTATCGAAATTGGGGCCCGTGACGGATACCGGTTCATCGGTGTCGTCTCTGAAGACAGCGAGCGAGCAAGTCGCGTCAAAGCCGATGCCACGGATGGTGTCTCGGTCGATGTTGTGTTGATCCAACGCGCGTCGGACAGATGAGCAGATACATCGCCAGATGTCAGATGTGGATTGTTCCTTCAATTCTTAGTAGGTGCTCTCTACAATCGGCCGGGACAGGGAACAGTACATAAAAGCCCGTCTGTGGTTGCCACAGGGCGATATTCTCTGAAGCCAGGCCAACAATGTCGCCCTGATCATTCATAATACATGCTCGGGCACTTCCCGTGCCGACATCGATACCGATGTAGTGGTCAACATGTGGACGAAGCTCATTGCGAGGGTCAGTTGACAACTGCCTGGATTGCTGGCGTTGAGCCTGTCTAAAAGGGACCGTGCCAGCCATTATGATGCTAATTGATAGTGACAGTGGAGCGAAACTGGAAGCTGTTCAATAAGGAGGGTAAGTAGAGGACCCCCAGAAATGAAATAAAAATGTTGAGATACAGCACAGCGATGCACGGTGAGCTCATGGGAAGCTGTCAGGAGCTCTGGCATGGTGGGGGCGGGGCAGTGGAGTGGTTAGCGAGCCCAAGATCAACATGGAGCAATTGGATTGGATTCTCTACCCGCTATTCTGGGGAGTGTCGCCAATGTTGCCGATCGGCTCTGCCAGGAGAGTCGGAAATGTTGGAGGTTGTGGAATCTCGGATCCACTCATTGGGGTATGCCGTAGCTTGAGCGCCAGTGGAAACACCGTAAGACGCAAAGTCAATTATTTAGCGTTGCCATCAGACGGACACATCAAGGCTCTGCTATGGGTAAAGGGAAAACATGACGGTGAGGACTTGATGACCTGGCACTCATGTCCAGTCGGAGTAGTCGAATCCGCTAGGGTTACGCCCTTTTAGTAAGGGGAAAGCCTGGTAGTTCAGAGTCTACGGTAGGGACAAGGTCAAATACCCAGGTATCATAGTTATCCATGCAACCCAAAAGGTCCTCAGGTTCAGTTAGATACCAGCATTTATCCTTATCTCTTTGACACGCCTACATTATGTTTAGCAGTAGAACCCAGGTGATTTGATGAAGACATGCCACCAATACCTCGTCGACCTTTCACACATCTTTGGCCTAAAGGAAGACCGGTGACGGCACTGTGACCACCACTGTTACCGACAGCTACAATGAGGATTACAGCAAGAGAGAAGCGCACCTTCAATCCATATTACTGCAATGATATGCTGAAGAGTGCTTATCAAGCCAAGAGGGCTGTATGGACACCATGTGAACACATTTTATCGCCGCCTCTACGGTACCATATGTGTAGTTTAGTGAGAATTCAGGGCGCTTATTAAGGATTGTTTATATAGCTTTGAAGCAACTTCAGACCTCCTATGTATAGTACGAAATGTATACATTGTACCGTATATTGAACAATAACTTGAGAAAAGCGAAGCTCGTTGAGCAAAGTGATTATCAGGTATAGGTTTGCACGATAGGATATGGTACGCAGAAAGTGATGTAGGATTTATTCAACGTGATTTGATAGAACAACTATCTACCGTACCCCCCCAGAGGCGTCCACCAAGGGGCGGGTGGATCACAAGGGGCGACACAGCCTCCGTCGATGCGGTGTTAGCTACGCACCTTCGGTCTGTTGAATTTCTTAGTGCAAGGAAAAACATTGTAATAAGTCCAAGGGGGAAAATACTTACCAGGTCCGGCGCCGCACAGTAAGTGGTAATTTCCTTCACAGCAGCAGCAGTCCGATATTCGTGCACAAGGTGCTACACAGTAATTAGTAGGTGATATATAGTAGTAAAGTCAAGACATAACACCAAGTCCACTTTGGCCAGGGTAGTAATTTTGGCCGCAAATATTGCTGATGGTTACAAAGAGAATCGCGGTGAGAGCAAACGCATATTCATTGTAAGATTTTAACTTGAATGATGATGATAATATACTTACGAGTTGTAGTGTACACTTTATGTTGGGTCAAGAAGGCTATATAAAGACCCAAATCTGGCCAGGTAGGGCCAGTAAGTTACCGGTAGGTGAGCATAAGAAGATCTCGCGTACCTGCCTGGTACAAGCCGCATGATACTTTCGTACATTCTTCAATATACATCAACAAGTCTGCTCTAAGAGAGTTTAGGCTCGATCAATTAATCAAAATGTGCCATGGCAACAGGCGGGCGGGGTCAGAAGCCAGTTAGAAAACGCTCTAAGGAGTTACAAAGAGAGTATCAAAAGGCTAGGTATTCCGAGTGTTGAGGGTCTGTGACTCTTGGCCCTCTAATACAATCAGAAGAAACTACTAAGATACATGAATATGCTGTACATATATACACAGTAAGATACTTGACAAGGAAACCCATAACGTACATATTCAACGTGCTCCCATTGATATTTCCAACAATCAGTGTGCAGATAGTGGAAGGATTACTCTGCCAGTCTGTGACACTCACAATAGTCCTACGTGATAATTGTATTTTCTGTGTACTATTGCCAGTCATCGCACACCGCTGCCCAACGTTTATTTCATAAGCGCACGGTAGCAGCTGTCACGATCTATTCAATCCATGTTACTTGCCTAGGTGCGTTAACTTGAAAAACGGCGTTGAATGGCATCGAACAGCTTAAAATAATTATCAGGCCACATTGATGTAGACTAAACAATACCGTATATCTTGAAAGAGACCCAAAGGGAATAGAAGAGCTAGTTTGGACTTGGTCGCAAGCTTAGTAGTGGGGAAATGTGTGGGTCACCGAGCTTACTGCATAGAGTGAATGAACGGGTGGTCCGGCGATACATTTGGCCGTCCAGCTCCAAGCGTGCATGATGGAACACCATCTCGCGGCGAACCCCATGTCTTCGTTGCACTTTCATATATCAGCAACATTCACCATGCTACTCACACAACTCCTCCTGCTCCCCTTCGCGGTCGCATCTTCAGTAACGCTATACGTGTCGTCGGTCCCAACCACCTCAGATCCCTCCATCTCCTCGCCCATCCCGCTTGCGCAAATCGAGTACGATGTAGAGCAATCGGCCGGCACACTGGCATCCTACACACCACCAACCGGCTCCTACGCCTCCGACCACCTCTTGCGCGTCGGACTTTCCGACTCCAAATCTGCGGCATGGCGCGGCATCGTCACCTCGGCGGCTAGCTTCTCGGAGCAGTACCGCAAGAAGTTCATTATCCATGTGGATGAAATGGGTGAGCCGATTCATGTGGGTTTTGGCACGAGTGCGAAGGGCAGTGGGCAGGAGATTGAGATTGAGATTGTCAAGAGGTCGGCGGGACCGAAGCCGGTGTTGAATAAGCCTATTGTGTTGAACGCGGATGGGAAGCTGGATTCCAAGGAGCCGGAGAAGACCTTTTTGCAGAAGTGAGTGAACTTTGGGCCTATGGGATTTGAAAGGAGTATGCTAACCGCCTCATAGGTACTGGTGGGTCCTTGCATTGTTCCTCGTTGTTCAGTTGGTGTCGGGTGGAGGGGACGGAAAGTAAGAGCCAGCAGCTCGGCATCATCTACCAATATACCCATTCGCGCATACAGCTTTCAACGTACGCTCCGGATTATGCTTGTATTCAAGTAGGCATAAAAAATGTCAAAAGATGTTGGGTCACGAGGCACGCCTCGATGTTGTACACTGTTGTCGAGGGTTGGGCGATCACATAGTAGATCGCTGGTACGATTTTCAACTCGAAGGTCACGAGCCAACGCCACGCTGTGCAAGTTCATGCACGAAATTGCTAATGACAATGTTGTATTTCACTGGGCCATGCTTTGTGGTTAAGATCTATAATGCGGGTATCTATATATGTTTATGCTCATTATTGAGCGGCCTTGGAGGGCGATCAGGCAAGAAGTCTGGAAGAAGCGGAAGAGATTGCGATGTTTGGAACGGCGACAGGCGGCGCACGCAGTACCGGTGGTGGTGTGGACTTTGGCTGATGAACGTCCATGGGCAGAATCTCCGTCTTAAGCTCTCTCGTCTTCTTCTGCTTGGGTTCCGGGGCTTTCTCATTCTCTTGGACGTAGAACTTACGCAACAGCATGATAGCTTCTTCCCTGAAGATACCACCAGTGACAGGGTACGGCTTGTCGACACTGGGACTGTACTTTGTTAGGACTTGGAAAGACAACAAGATCGTGGATTGGCTTACTCGCAGTGGACATTCAGTACACCACCTGTGCCTCCGAAACGCTCGTTCCAGCAGCCAAAGTAGACCGCCTTGATTCCGTACTGACGGAGCATAGACGCACACATGACACATGGCTCCACGGTCACGTACAGATCAGTCTCGTTGAGGATGCTGATTGGGTGTTTGGACAGAATGCTGGCAATGGCTACAAACTCGGCGTGGCGGGTACCATTGAGTGTTCGGTTTGTTTCGTTCATGCCTCGACCAATGATTTCGCCATCTTTGACAAAGACGCAGCCCACAGGTGTCTCGTCACTCTTGAGTGCGAGTTCAGCCTGGTACAGGTAATGGGTTAGCCAATATCAAATGCACAACCTTGGCTGCACATGAGCAGGTTGGATCAGTGTGTGGTGTATAGTGTAGAGTGTGCAAAGTGTAGTGATTGTGACTCACCATAGCGATGGCCTCACGCATGAAGCCCTCATGAAGCGCCCTCTCCTTCGGATCCATAGCCAGTACTGCACGATCCTGGTCTTGGTCTTGGTCTTGGCAGTGAGGTTTGTCTACAGGTTGCGATGCAAACTCGTCGCTGTGCGAGGGCGAACGTTGTGTTTGAAAGCGGTGCAGGACATAGAGCCCAAGGCCCAAGGCCGCAGACATCGCAACGACAAACGGCGTCCATGGCTCCTTCCCTCTCAACGTTCCCAACATGCCCAAATGGAAGTTGCGACCATCTGTGGGTTGCTGAAACAGAAGGTGCACGCACGCACGTCCACCGTCGGTGTTCTCGGTGTGAGCTGCCGACCAAGACGCTTTCGGCAAGCGTAGTTTAGTGTACGTGGACTTATGTCTGAGAGAGAGGCGCCAGAGAAGCCGCGAATCTGACTTGCGCAGCAGTAAAGCCAACCTCCATTGCAATCGCCAGGCAACGACTTGATAGACAGGTGCATAGCCACACAAGCCTTACGCAACCTTACATAGACGATCCTGCGCCTCCACAACCCAACAAAAGGAACGAAGACCCCAAGCAGATTGAAGCCGCCCAGCCCATCTCTACAAGAGCTCCGCTATTCACAGGTCGCGCCATCAACACAGCCGCACCCAGCTACACTATACCTCGCGCAACACACCACCCACGACACCTAAAAGGCCCTGCACGCCGTCGCATACATCACACTCAGAATGACGCTCGCTGAGGAGTTCAAGTCGAGGAATTTCAGTAAGAGGCTCTGTCCAGATGACTGCTGAGATAGCTGCTGACCTGGCACTTGTGTAGGTATCTACGGTCAATGGTCAGTCGTATTCCCACACTAGTCATGTCGCGACTCCCTTCTCAGAATAGAACTGAGTTGCAGTAGCAAGTCTCTGGTCATTGCATACTCACTTGCGTTATTAGGACCGGAGTGCTGTGCATATTCCTATGCTTCGCCCTCGGCATCGCAAACATCTTCCACGCCAACTTTGTGATCGCATTCAGCATTGTATGCTTGTACGTCCCCCCCTCAGTCTCTCTGAAGCAGCAACACGGCTGATAGACACGGACAGAGTTTGTTCCTTCATCATTATATTCATCGAGATACCCCTCTTGCTGCGCATCTGTCCGACGTCGTCGACCTTTGACAACTTTATCCGCAAATTCAGCTCCAACTACATGCGCGCGGTCATCTACTTTGTCATGAGTGCGATACAATGGATCAGTATCTGGCCCATGGCGACAAGCTTAATTGTCGCTGCCATCTTCTTGCTAATCGCTTCCATGTTCTATGCACTTGCTGGATTCAAGGGGCAGCAATTCCAGGGCAGCAAAACCCTAGGTGGACAGGGCGTCGCACAAATGATCATCTAAAAAGATTACGGACCTCAGTGAAGGGGAAGAGAGCGCAAGATCAGACACGGACTCGTATGTGTGAGACACGATGCGGTGCTTGTTAGGGGGAAATGGGCAGCGACGTACAGCAAGGCTCACCCATGAGTATCAGTACAGCACGTTGGATAGGCGGTTGAAGCTGGGTCTCGAGTCCTTGTATCAGGAATCAATTGCTAGGCGTTTCTGGACGTGTCTTCAGGAGGACTGGAGTGGAACAGGGCGCGCATTGCGCATGGCATGTCATTTGCAAAAAGGAATGCAATCATCTATTTTATGAACACATGGAATTGTTGCCTGTAGGAGATGACAAGGTCACTGATGATGTTGGTGACATGGCTTTGACTCGTTGTCACAATTGCACTTGTGCCCCACATGAGGCCATGACAGCGTTTCCAAGCTCGCATGGTGAATGCTGTTTTTGACATCTTTAGTCCATTGGCTTTCAGTGGGAGCTGACGTTGACTTGTCATTGAAGCTAACAAATGCCCTTTGCCAACTCTGCTTGCAACTACTCTAGCGATGGCTGGCTACCAGGATTCTAGGTAGACGGGAACAAGGGACCATTACCGCAGCATGCGCTTCCAGATGATGGATGGATGGTGCGGGGGAGAGCGCTAGACAGGCTTGATGACGGAAAGTGGCGTAGCTCACACGTTGGCCGCAAAGGCTCTGCACGCTTGCTTGGCCTTGTATCGATTCACTTTGGCTCTGGCTTCTTGCAATTGAGCATTTGAATGAGCGAGCCGTGGAGTTTTGTGACGGCGGGTTGCGGGTTGATGGATCTGTCTGGTACGGTTGAAAGCGTTGCGCAGACTCGATGTCTTCTTGATTGGTTAGCAGTCTCGAATAAGGTACCTACAACAAGACCCGACACGATACACGATACATCAGACACCAGACACCATGCATGTATGGGGATAGTCGAAACAGGCCTGTGGGCGAGCAGGCTCTGCACTGTGGTGGCCTTTCAGGTTGCCAAACAGACCCTTGCGCCTGCGCCATTCGGGAAGATGATGCAAGCGGGTCCTGGCCAGCCAGCGAGAATGCTGGTCCAGTACATGCACTCTGCACCCTGTACTCACTCTGCACAGCACATAAGACTGCACAGGTACCGCTGGATTTTCTGACGTTTCTTGTCTTGTCCATACTTCATACTCTTGAACACTCGCTCTAGTACTGCTCCCGCCATCCCTCCCTCTCTCTCTCTCTCTCTCTCTCTCTCTTTCTCTCTCTCTCTCTCTCTTTCTCACTCTCCCCCTCCCTTGACTATACTACTGATTGACATGTAACCCCACACACTCCAACGTAATTGCCTATCATCTCGCTTTATCTCCTCCACCTTTCTCCGCTGGTATCGTCAAACACAGCCACGCTCATTGGTTGGCTCTGCATCGGCTGGCATGGGAGCCACATAGCTGGTTGTGGCCAGGTGCTGCGCATCTTTTCTACC